AGAGGAAGGGAGAGAGATAGAGAGTTAGAAACATCGATGAGAGAGAGACATTGATCAGCTGCCTCCTGCACATCTCCCCCTGGGGATGTGCCCGCAACCCAGGTACATGCCCTTGACCGGAATCGAACCTGGGACCCTTGAGTCCACAGGCTGATGCTCTATCCACTGAGCCAAACCGGTTTCAGCAGCCTAATGTTTTTTAGATTATCTGGTTTTGTGGATAGCTATAGGTGATTCTTTTTTACTGCTGAGTAATATTCCATTGTATGAATATACCACAATGTCTTTATCCATTCTCCTATTGGTGGACATTTGGATCATTGCTAGTTTGGAGCTATTATGCAAAAGCTGCTATGAACATTCTTGTACAGTCTCTGTCAATGTGTTTTCATTTTCTTACACAAATACCTAGTAGTAGATGCTCAGACATGTGGTGGGTAGGAATGTTTAATTGTATAAGAAACTACCGACAATATTTTATTTACTTTTTAATAGCATTTGTCACAACAAAGTGTATTTATAATATGTGAAATTGAGCTTCTAAAAATTAGGACATATTTTATTCTTTATATTTTCACAAGTGCCTAATACAGTGTATGGCACATATTTGGTGCTTGCTCCATAAACATCGAAGAAGGAACTATAGTAGTTCTTTATTTTTATTACTTTTATGGAATTTATCACATGCTATCTTATTGGTTATGTTCATGTTTTCTCTGTACTAGATTGCAAGTTTCTTAATCTGTAGGAATTTTTGTTTTATTCTTGTTTTATATTTCACATTGCTTTGAAAATTACTTTGATGAATGAACCAGCCTGTCACTTAGAAGGTGAAGAACCAGGAACAGAAGAACAAGAGAAGTTTGCCTGTTTCTTCTGATTGGGAAGAAGGAGAGAGGGAGAGCCGGCAGAGCAGCTATTATATTAGTGGGCCCACTATTTGGCGGTGGTGGAGGAGGGGGTTCACTGAGACTTGTGGCCTAGGAAGAGCATTTTGTACTCTAATTTGCCTCCATTTCAATATGTTGCAGAGCAAGGAAGCGGTTTTTATTTTAGTTGGTGCAGCTGGCTCCCAAGTGGGTCAGTAGACCGTTTTTATTAGTGTTGCATCATGCATTGACCCACTAGGCTTTGACTTTGCAGGATGTGCTGCTTGTGAAACAGAGGAAATAGACGCAGTGTTTGAATATTTGGTATTGTGTTCTTATTTTGCAGTTAAATCCAGATGTGAATGTTTTCCAGCGGAAATTTGTGAATGAAGTTAGAAGATGTGAAGAAATGGATCGAAAGCTTCGTATGTGCATTTTGGTCTTGATGGTGTTCCTAAAATGAGTCATTTATCTTAAATTAGAGACACCAGTGCTCTTAATAAAGGGAGGAAATCCTACAGGAGAAAAAGAAAGGAGGAAAAATCTTGTGATCCTGATGTTAAGATGAATTTCTGGTATACAAGTAGATTTTGTGGTGTTTGGGCCTGGTGATGCTTAATGGAAACCTTGTGTGAGATGACAGGGCTGTAAGCTGAAAACACTGCTTTGTGTGTGTGTGTGTGTGTGTGTGTGTGTGTGTGTGTGTGTGTGTGTGTGTGAAGGGTTTTATACCAGAACTAGTGGCCCAGTGCACGAAATTCATGTGGGGGAGGGGACTGTCCCTCAACCTGGCCTGCACCCTCTCCAATCTGGGACCCCTCAGGGGATGTCTGACTGCCAGTTTAGGCCCATAGAGATCGAGCCTAAACTGGCAGTTGGACATCCCTCTTGTAATCCAGGACCGCTGGCTTCTAACCACTCATCTGCCTGCCTGCTTGATCATCCCTAACCACTCTGCCTGCCCGCTTGCCCCCAACTGCCCCCTCACCCCCCGCTTGCCAGCCTGCTCGCCACCAACTGCCCTTCCCTCCTGGCCTGATCGCCCCTAACCTCCTCTGCCTCGGCCCCACTTTATCTGGAAGGTTTCCTGGAAGGTCTCCTGGTCTAATTAGCATAATACCCTTTTTTTAGTATAGATTACATTATAGAATTCTGAGGGATGGAACCCAGACCACCATCAATTTTAGATGTCAGCATAGCCACCTTTCAATCTGCGCTATTTATGTATGAGGGAAGAAACTAAAACTTAAGGCTCTATTGAGAGTTAGGGTGTTCATATGCTTGCTTTCATTCATTTCTTACAACATCCCTTCAAAATGGGTGTTAACCTCATTTAATAAGTGAGGAAACCAAAGATCAGAGAGGCTAAGTGACATGGTCCAAGAATGTAAGTGACCGTGATGGAATCAGTATTTGAATTGGGTTGTTCTGTCTGGTTCTAAAACCCAAGGTCTTGCTAGTATACTATGCCAGCTCTCAGTTAGCTGATAGGTGAATTTGGTTCCCATCCTAAAAAACAAAGTCAGTAGTTGTCACCTGAAACACTTTTCTTTTCTGGTGTCTTGGAGCCTTATTCTGCCTCTTGCTTCTTATTTGTTTTGTTTCCTTTAAATGTATTGAAACCCTTTTGATCTGGAGTTGTCTCACTAGTGTGTCAGTTGTCAAATAGTCTGTTGAGTTGGCTCTTCCATAGCTCTGCTCTGCCCGCACGCAGTGCTTGTGATGAGGACATCATGCTCTGGGGCAGCAGTCACAGAGGTTGCAGGGCTGAAGCAGGTTGGACTAGTTTGAAGACCAGAAGAGGAAATGAAGACAGGATGGAATGATAACCCTCTTTGGGGAAGCTGTGCTTTAGAGATTGTGTGGTAGGAGGACGAGGAATGTAGAGAAAAAAGGATTTGCATATTCTGCCTCTTTTGTATAAAAGTATCTTTCGTAGAATGAAGCTTTTTAGCCAGGCTTGGCATCTCTTTCCACCCCTCCGCCTTGAAATATTGGCAATTCCAAGCATATGCTATACATGAATGTTTTGATTCTGTCATTTTAGGATTTGTTGAGAAAGAGATAAGAAAAGCTAATATCCCAATTATGGACACTGGCGAAAATCCAGAGGTGCCCTTCCCCCGGGACATGATTGACTTAGAGGTAAACAATTCTGAGGATGCCAAATAAGTGTCTTGCTGTTTAAATGTAGAAATTTCTGAGTGGATAGAGAGTAGAGTAATTCTAGCTGTGTTTGTCAGCATTATTTTTTGATGTAAGTTTCTTGTAGCTGGAATTAAAATGAAATTTCCTTTTTATGGTATAGAACAGCATGTTGAACAGTGTCATGTGCCACTAAATAAATGTTTATTGGCTTATTGAAACCATATTGGATTAATGTCAGTTTATCTAGTAATTTATTAATCTCATTGACTAAATAAATGAATAGCCAGTGGATTTCAATATTTATTTTATCCATCTGAAGTCTCCTGAGAATTCAACCAAGGGTATAATAGAATATATAAACAAAGATGATTTAAACAAAAATTTGAATGAAGAAAATTGCCCTGGTAAAATCATGTATTTGCAGGGTAGATATAAGATATCTGTCATAGTAGCTAGAGTTCTGTTGGATAGATGAATTCATGCCTTTCAGAGCAAGCTCATTGAGCTTAGTTTGAGTTAATAGTTTGATTTCTTTTCTTTTTTATAGGCTAATTTTGAGAAGATTGAAAATGAACTGAAGGAAATCAACACCAACCAGGAAGCTCTGAAGAGAAACTTCCTGGAACTGACTGAATTAAAATTTATACTTCGCAAAACTCAGCAGTTTTTCGATGAGGTCAGACTATTATTTCTTTTAGTAATTGAGCAGCTGGTGTTACACCTGCACAAGTGGGCCATATTTTTATTCCAGTAATTATTTTAATTTGCTAGTTTGAAAGCAATACCATCTTCACACCCTGTTTTAGTTGAAGAACTGTCAGATTATGTTCCATTTTTCATGCAGTACATAGCCAGACATAATTTTGTATATTTTTGCATTTTCTGTAATTTTTCATCTCCAGATGGGGAAAGGAACCCTACAATAGTTGTATTAACATAGTTAAAATTTTTACATTCTATTTTAAGGTAAGTAAATGTTTAAGGTTAAAGTCAAAGCAACAAGAAACATTCAGTTACATGTGAAATTATAACAAAGGTTTAATCTCCAAACCTTTTGTCATCAAATTTTAATTTTATTTCTATGTTTGCCCATCAACCTTCAAGCACACTTTTAACTACTTTAGATAGCACATATCACACTTTAATTTTTTTTAAATACTATATGGAAATATTGGTAGGATGCTTGTTTGGAATTCCTGGATTTTCATATAAACTCAACCGCATTACCAGGTAGGGAAAAATGTTAATAAGGTCCTGGATTAGAAATGTAGGTGACTAAGTTGCCAGCAGCTTGCTGAGGTGCCCCCGTGGGAGGGATTTGGAGCAAGGCTTTCAGAAAGCTTCCTTCTCCTAATTAAACCTGGGAAGGAGTCTTAGTTTTCAGCCTGGACGTGATTTTTCTGATGGCTTAAAATATGGGTCATTCTCTCTTTTTTAATTTAATATTTTTATTAATTTTTAGAGAGAGAGGGAGGGAGGGAGAGAGAAAGAGAAAATCAATGTGAGAGCGAAACATTCATTGGCTGCCTCCTGCATGCCCCCTACCAGGGATCAAGCCTGAAACAGGGCATGTGCCCTCACCAGAAATCGAACCTGCACGGGGACAATGCCCAACCAACTGAGTCACACTGGCCAGGCTGGATAATTCTCTTTTTTACAGGTGTTTTTGCCCCTGCTTAGCAACATAAGACACTTCAGAGATTGTTCTGGACACCGTTCAGTGTGCCTTCCCATAAAGTTCTTTATTTCCTTTGTTCAAAACAAATTTTCTTGTGTGGCAAAACTTTTAAAAAATAGAAGGCCCAATTTAGTTAGTATCTGCTCTTGTTCTCAGTTCCATTTTTAATAGCTGTGTTTTGGAGAAAGAACAACTTCCCACTGTTCTTATACTAGAATAGGGGTTCTCCAACCAGCAGCATCAGCCTTGCATGGGAACTTGTCAGAATGCAAATTACCAGTCTGAGAGTGGGCGTAGCAATCTGTTTTCATAAGATCATCGGGAGGCAGGCTAGTTTGAGAACCACTGGGCTAGAGAAAGTCAGCTGAAGATGTGATACATTCCTCAATAGCTAAGGCTTTGACTTAGAGAAGCCATGCTAATTAAAAAGATCTGCTGGGGCGAGGGAAAAGGGGAAAGGTCTTATGAATTTAATTGCCTGGCCCTCCTAAGGATTAGAATCTGGCAGTATTTATCAAGAGAGGTTCGGTGTGAATATTCAGCTTGCTGACTGAGCTGAGAATTTTGAGACCACTGATAACTTCTTTCACTAGTCCGCAATTATCGTCGCATTAGAGGGTGTGGGACAGTGTGATTAACTCATGACAAGTGTTTCAGGTCTTTTGCAACAGGCATATGACCACTTAGGCATATGATTTTAATGAACAAGTAATCTGGAATTCCAGTATGCTCACTGCCTACACATTGTATTTATCTTCATTAATTCACTGAACATTGATAAACCACCTACCTTTGGTGAGACAATGAGATGAGTAAGACCTGGTCCCTATGCTCAAGGAGCATATCCGTAATTATGAGGAAACATCCCGGACACAGTGCCTCCAGTGCTCCCAGATGTGTGCTTTTCTAAATGTGTTCAAGCTGCTTCCCACAGATGCAATATAAACCTGGTCTCAGGATCAAAGCTCAGCTACTTTTAGCATCATTTAGGACTTAATTTTCCCTCCCCCCCCTCCTCTTTTTTCCTTTTGATATAGTCTTTTGTTTACTGCTCAGATGTTGCTGAAAAGTATGAAAATGTCTTCCATAACCTCCCAAATTTAAGAATTGAAATGGGCTTCTTAGTCTAGTTCATTCTGGGAGAAATTCTGAATAAAGATTGACAAATGGACTCCCTTAAGGGAAATAGTTATTAAAACTTTAATGTTATAATTTTTAAAAATAGTAAAAATATAAAAAGGAACAATGGAAAAATGACCTAAGATTTTAAAATCATAAGTTATGGATTTTGAAATTTCTTTGTGCTTAATAAGTCTAAACATGAAAAGCCCTTGCTGAGAAGGCAGGCTTAAATCTTCATGACCTTCATGCCCAATCTTTGGTGAGGTGTTCACTTTTGAACACAAGGCCTTGGCTATGAGAGGTTCTTCCGCTGCTTTCGTTATCAGTCCCTCTCATTCTTAGCACCCTCACCGCAGCGCAGGAAATCTGGCAAGAACCACTCCGCCTTTTCTCTGCAACTGCACCGTCCGTGCCTTGCCTGCTCTTGCCACTAGCTCGTAACCTCGGCCAGGTCCCTTTCAATAGCCCTTGCCCTGCTGCCACTACACAGCAACCTCAGGTGTCCAGGCCATGACAGGAAACCAGACCTCACAGAGTGAGCGCGTGCGCACGTGGAAGACACACTTAAAGAATGCAAAAGATAAGGAAACTTGAGGCCCTCAAATCTTGGAAACATAGATTTTTTCATGAGATTATCTTCTATGCCTACAACTAGAAGGTTTGCAAATGGCCTAAAACACTACCAGTTTCAAAGCCTTCTTTTTGGTGAATATGATTAATGATTTGTAATAATGAGTTAGCAGACAATGGCTAAATCAGAGAATGATTCCCATCTTTTGGTATAGGGGTTCTGATTGGTGAGGGGTGTATAAGGGGAAAGATAAACACATTGAATATTCTTATGATTTAAGATGATTACAAATTTGACTTAGCCATTTCTTATCCAGAGCATTTAATATGACTTGTTAATGATTATCCTTTTCTCAGTCTTCTTGCTTATGCAGAGCTGTAAGAGCTGGAGAGATTTCTCTGCATCTTTACCATAAGCACCATAACATATGAGAGCGTAAAGAAGACTGGAAAAGTAATGGTTAATGGCATGCAGATCCCTGCCTTCTTTTCCTCCTGAGTTTTTCATTCATTTGCTTTCTTTACTTTTCTTTCCCATCTGCCATCTCCTTTGGGGTTTGGGTAAATAACTTAGGTGATAAAGTGTAATCTCTCACTCTCTCTCGCTCTCTCTTTTTTCTCTGTCTCTCTATCTCTATTTTTTAAATTGATTTTTAGAGAGAGAAGAAGGGAGTGTAATTTCTTTCTTAACATAGATGGAAGTAAAAGTGTTTGCTCTTGGTAACTAAAGTAGCTTGAACTGGACTTGTGCTGCTTATACTTAAGAGTAGAAATAGACCTACTGAAGCTCTGCTACTTCTTTTTTCAAGGCATGGTTTCAGTGTTCTAATTGGGGCAGGGGGTAAGCCAGAGGGCATAGCAAGTAACTTAGAGGAACATTGGCAGGTCGTTATTGTTACTAGAGAACCCAGTTAGGATTTTGCTACTTGACGACATGGTTTTAGAGATTGCCTTAAAGGCCTTCAGTTAGTGGTTCTGGTCATCCTATTTTCTCACGAGGCACGATTATTTTATTTAAAAATCTTTTACTTTCCTCTCTAAGACTTAGGATTTTTTTCCATTTTTTAATCATCACCTGAGGATATGTGTGTTTTATTTTTTGTTTGTTTTTTGTTTTTTATTTTAGAGAGAGAAACATCAATTGGTTGCCTCCTGTGTGCACCCTGACCAGGGATCAAACCCACAATCTAAGTATATGCCCTGACTGGGAGTTGCACCTGCAACATTTTGGTGCATGGGACGATGCTCCAACCAATGGAGCGGCTCACCTGGACAGGGCAAGACTTGGGATTTGTAAGTATGAAATAGTGTAATTATGAATTAGAAGCTTATTGCAAGTTTCTATTTAACTTTAATTCTGTTTTTTTTTTTTATATACCGAGAGAGTCCCAGATACAGTCTTTGGAGTGGTCTAATTGCTGTTTCATCTTTGTCCCCTTAGAGTACATGTTGGCTTTGAGTCTGATCTTTAGGGTTTATTTAAACCAAGTCTTATGAACCGTACAGGGAAGTAGGCAGGAATCTTGTGAATAGCAGTAAGTTTCACTGGTTTTTGCTGAGGGACATTCCAAGAACACATTGAAATGTGGAAGTCATCTGGATCCTCAAAATAAACTGCCTGTGGCTTGTAGTGAGCTGGTTTGACCTTAAGTAGAAACAAGAAGAACCTCTGAACTGCCATTTGATAGCAGCTGGTAACCTGTGGCCCATTATCTCATCTTAAGCTTTTCCAAATCCCATGACAGTATTTCTCTGCCCTTCCCTTTGTTAAAAAATATCAAAGTTGATCCCGCTTTCAAAATTTTACTTCTCAAAGCAATTGCCTTCACATAGTAAGGCTTTCAGACTTACACTTGACATTCCCATGAGGTTTTTTTTGTTTATAATGGGTTGACAGGAGTAGAATCTTGAAATTTGGAATGAAAATGATGGAGAACAATTTTACTGATTTTTTCTTTGTTTTGTCAAACAAGAAGTGCATGGATATTAAAGTTGGAGAGGTCAGGCTGTGGAGAAATCAATTGGCCTTTATTTTTTAGGGCAGCTTCCCTTCCTGATGGGAGTAAAAGGTGGTAGGAAAGAAGTGTTGTGTAAAGAGAGGCTAGGAAATATAGACGTAGCACATCTTAAAAGGTCCCTTTCCTCCTTCATTTCATTGTATAAACTGTCATGGTGGAAATCATTTTAAATCTAAACCATTAAACTAGCCCACACACTGTGTATTGGCCTAATATCTCTACTCTCTTCACTGCATTTGATTCCGATTATTGGATTAGCTAACTCAAGAATCCTGCAACTGTAAAGCCTACATGAACTTTTTAATATTCCTCAATTCCTGCTCAGAAGCTACAACATTCCAATACGTTTTCACTTTTTCTTCCCTTTATGGATACGGTGGAGGCCCAGGCCTGTCCAGCTATTGTACTTCTTATCCTTTTGGAGAAAGAAATACTCCTTACGTCCCATGGAGCATTTTATGCAATGGCTGAAAGTCCTCACATTCTGCATTTCTAAGAGCACAGAAATCCGAGGTATCTGGAGAGGCCTCCCCTCCAGATCACACACTGTGGTTAAGACAGTGACGCTGCCTTGCGTTCTTCCTTGGAAAAAGAGCCTCCATCTTTCACATTCTCACGCAGGGACAATTCTAGTTTGTAACTGCCTGGAAATTGGATGTTGAGAGTCGGCTGAGCTGCCTCCTTTTTGCTCAAAAGGAAGAAACACTTCAGCTTCTATCCACATGAAAAGGTATTTCCTGGTACTTTCATGGCTCATTTAGGAAAATATAAGAGAAAAAATGGCTTCCACCAAGTAAGATTTATACATGTCACCATCATTTAATGTTTGTTTTTGTTTTTTTTATTCCTTATTTCTTAAACCATTTCCCCAGATGATTTCCTGGGACAATTATGCTTTCTTTCCCTCTTGTTTCTTTTCTTTGTTTTCTTTCCTTATTGTTCTTCTTTTTGTGGGTACATCTTCTCTTTTGGTGGTTTGTTTCTCATCTTTATTTTCTGAACTTATCTCCTGGTTCCTCGTTCCCTGCATGCCACTAACTATTTTCATTAGATATTAATTGATTTGTGAATTCAGGCTGAATTGCATCATCAGCAGATGGCGGATCCAGACCTGTTGGAAGAGTCCTCATCCCTCTTGGAGCCAAGTGAGATAGGAAGAGGCACACCTTTAAGACTCGGGTAAGTACCACTTCAACCCTCCATACTCAGTGGGGTCAAGTTCATTTTTACTGTTCAGAAGAGCCAAAGGTTGGCCTTTACTTGCTTCCAGAATGCACTCTCCTCTGAGCCTGTTGAGAGGCGCTCCTCAGTTGATTTGGATTGTGTTCTCTCAACTCTCTTCTGGGACCAGAATAAAACTTTAGTTTTTTTGACATAACAATGTGTAATCATGTTTGTCATCCTCGTACCTCTCCTCACTTTCCTTCTTTGTCTTAAAGCCTTCCATCCCCTGGCATGGGATAGATTTCCCAACCTGGCTCTTCTTCCCACAGCTTCGTGGCTGGTGTGATTAACCGGGAGCGCATCCCTACTTTTGAGCGCATGCTTTGGCGGGTGTGCCGGGGGAATGTGTTCCTGCGACAGGCTGAAATCGAGAACCCCCTGGAGGATCCTGTGACTGTAAGACAAGGACATTGTGTCCCATGGAGTAGGTCTTGTAAAGGGAGTTCAGAGCAGGAGCAGCCTCGTGCCCCCTGACTCTGAACCTGCCACAAAGGAGCCCTTACGTTCATCCCGGCTTTGATCTGGGAATTTCAGAGACGGCTCTTTTCCTCTTAACTGCCATCATATGTGTACATATGATCTATATATGATATATACATGTACATTTTAAAGCTATGCCTGTGTATTATTTTGAATGTAAATTTTTTTTCCAGTTATTTTAACCTTTAGCTTTATATGTTTTGTGTTACTTATCTGGGACCAACAAAAAAGTAACCTTCTATGAAAGTTAGCTTAAAGTAAGACATCTGGTTCCCAGTTTGGTAATATCAGTATGTAAAAAGGAGAGTTCCTACATTGTGGATCTCTGTAAGTTGATGAGATTTTAGTTGGTAAGGTTTTTTATTGTCTACTTGTTTGTTAGGAGATTTAGAAACTTAGTTTAAAAATACATATTGTGAAGGTAGGATGATCTTCCCACCCAATGCTCTGGAAAGTAAGAATAGCATAACATCGTAGCATTTGACATAGTGGGACAGAATTCTTAACGTAAACCTATATTAAGTATGGTGAGTTCTGATTTCAGGGATCACAAGCAAAGAAGATTAAATGTTCGGCAAAAAAATTTACTTCACTTTTGTGTTAGTATTATTTAGAAGCCTAAAGTTGTTGTTTTTTTGTTGTTCTAAATTATCTTTTGGATTTCTTAAATTAGTATCCTTTGTCCTAAGAAGAGAGATTGAGACTTCTCAGAGTGGGTGGGTCCTGCAGCTACAAATGATCCAGTGAGAGTATATGACTTTTATCCTCAGTGTTGAGTAGGAGCATAGTGACACTTAGGTTATGGTGAGTCCCCTCACCCAGAGGAGCAGTCGTACAGTCTTATTGAGGCTGGCCTCGGGTTGTGAAGACATTGTGATGTGCAGGCACACCTAATGTGGACCTGTTCTCAGGAATGTTCGGCCAAGTGTCTGGGCAACAGAAACCATTTTATCAACAAATTGAGGAAAGGGTGCCTGGGTATCTCGGAGCTACAGCAGAGCAGCTGCACCAAGAATGTGCACCAGTTTATTTCTAGAGGATTTAGGAATTTAAGTCTTAAGCCTTATCTGCTTCACTCGTCATCCCCTTTTATCTTCTAAAGTTTTGTTTTCTTATTCAACCAGCTCCATAGGAATATGAGAAAATAGAGACAATCTTGGTCAACACTCAGTATAGCTTATTTTTCTCATTATTCCTTCCATACTTCAAGTGTAAACTTGGTATTTGGAATGGATTGTGTTTTGCCTTGTCCCCTAAAGTCTAAGTCGGAATGAATCATGAAATTCTACATCAACACTCTCCCCAACTACTCGGTCCCTTGTAGTTATCCAGTTCTCTTTATCTGGGAATTTCTAAGCATGGGAGCAGACAGGAATGTCTTTCTTCTCTTTCTCTGTACTTATAGCTTTCAGGCAATAGAAGATTTAAAGTGGAATTGGTAAATAGGGCTAAGTTGTACTAAGAGAAGGTCATCTTAGAGCAGCCGTGGGCAAACTACGGTCCGCGGGCCGGATCCGGCCCGTTTGAAATGAATAAAACTAAAAAAAAAAAAAAAAAAAAAAAAAAAAAAACACAACCATTGTGGCCCTCGAGTCAAAAAGTTTGCCCACCCCTGTCTTAGAGTCTGTGTCAAGCCCCTGGTTGAGTGTAAAAGCACATACAGGAAGTTTTTTGTGACTTAGTAATTACAGGGCAAATGTTCTTGTAGTGGAGCTTAAGAAATGGATGGAGGATAGTGGTTCAAGTACACGGTTGCCGTATCCTCAAAGAATTTTTGTTGCTCCTGTATCACCAAGAAAGTAAGTTACTTAAGACTTTTTTTCTGGGTTACAAGTCTGAAGTCTTGGTTTTCGGTTTGGGGCCTAGGGCGACTACGTGCACAAGTCTGTGTTCATCATTTTCTTCCAAGGTGATCAGCTGAAAAACAGGGTCAAGAAAATCTGCGAAGGGTAAGAGAAACGTGCCTCCCCTGAGGGTGCAGGCGAACTCTCCTAAGTCTTAGACTATAGAATAGTGAAACACAAACCCTTACTTTACCTTCACATGGTGAATACATCTTTTAATAAGGTTGGGGCTGTTTTAAACACTTAGAAATGGCCCAAGTTCAGTTTTTAAAGTGCTGTCAAAACCACAATTTCCACCCAGGCCGATGTGGCTCAGTTGTTTGAGCGTCATCTTGTGCACCAAAAGGTCATAGGTTCAACTCCCAATTAGGGCACATACCCAGGTTGCAAGTTTGATCACAACCAATGGATATTTCTCTCTTACATCGATGTTTCTCTCTCTCTTCCTCTTCCTCTCTCTCTAAAATCAATACACATGTATTTTTTTAAACACAACACAATTTCCTTTTCTTGGAAAAAAGTAATTAGGATTCATAATTTATAAATGCTACATTGTTCTAGGACAGTGGTTCTGCGTATCCAGCAGTGTGCCACAGGCACCATACCCTTCCACTTTTCTGAAATTCTGCCCGTAAGATCTTTCTTCAGTGCCATTTTTCCTAATATAATTTGTATTACTGTTTTGTTTGTTTGTTTGTTTTAAATATCTTGATTGATTTCAGAGAGGAAGGAAGAGGGGGAGAGAGAGATAGAAACATCAATGATGAGAGAGACATCAATGATGAGAGAGTCATCAATGGGCTGCCTCCTACATGCCCCCCTACTGGGGATCAAGCCCACAACCTGGGCATTTGCCCCAACTGGAATCAAACTGTGACCTCCCGTTCATTGGTGGATGCTCTATCACTGAGCCACACCGCTGGGCTGGTTTTGTTTTTATAATCTAAGGAAATTTAATAGCTACAGAGAATACCAAGATAGTTCAAATGTTACTGCTCTATCTGTAGGCTACTTACCGTAAATAATTATTATTGATTATTACACCAGTCTGAATCCTACTAGTAAATTAGGATTACTTCCTGAGATTATTTAAATTGGACAGGTTAAGAAATATCCGTGTTCCTCAGGCTGTGTCTGTATGTTTTAGGTTCCGGGCCTCTCTCTATCCCTGCCCTGAGACACCCCAGGAGAGGAAGGAAATGGCTTCTGGAGTTAACACCAGGATTGAGGATCTCCAAATGGTACTCAGAGGGCTGACGGGAATTTGTTTTTGTGTGATACTGAAATAGAAGGCCAGTCTCCTTCCTTGAAGCACAAACAGTTTATTAGGCACCTGCAGTAGCTCAGGAAACCAAAAAAGGAAACGTCTCCTTGGGAGCTGGGGAAAAGTTTCATGGAATGACTGCTCCAAAAAAGCATTAATCATTCTCAAAGGAGACAGGAATGCTATGCATCCGAAATCACTGTTGCTTAGAGTATTCATTTCTCCTCATCATGAGTCAAAAGTATGCTTAGTTAAGAAAAAAAAAATCAAATAATACAGAAGTATATACAAAGTCAGTTCCACCCTGTCTCACACACACACTCTCTACCTCCAGAGGCAGCCACTCTCAGCCGCTTGGTGTGTATCCCTCTGGTCACCTGGATATCAACCACACAGTCTAGCCAAAGTGTCCTGGTGTAACCCTTGTACCCAGGAAGAGACTGCATTAGATTTTCCCAAAATCACAGTGTGTGTGATTTATGGGTACATGGAAGGAAAAGGGTGGCCAGCTGGAGTGTTGTTTCCTGTTGAAAAAATGTGATGAGTGCCCCTTGAAACATTAATAAACATGCCAATCCCAAAGGCATTTCTTTCCAGTGGCAAAATTATCAGAGATATGTTGTAATTCCCATTTCAACTTCATCTTTCCCTCTAACCCCCATTGTATGTGACCCACCGACTTGACCTATTTCCAGTTCCTTTGAGATATTCTTAACTGTTTAACCCAAACTGCTGGTGGACCATAGGCCATATTAGTATGTTCTGGGTTCTAGGACTGTCTTATCCCCTCCCAGGCTTATGGGTAGATTTTAAAGAGCAGGTGCAACCCACATGAACTGAACTGAAACTTTAAAATTGAATACCAGGGGGTGGGAGATAGGTAAAGAAAAAAGCAAATAGGACATTGCTTCCCAGAAGTCGTAATAGTAATTGTGAAATTGTCAACAGCCAGAGGAGAAAAAGTAGTTTTGTTCCTTTATTCTCAAGTGATTTAAGAGTTAACCAAGGATATTTTTTCCCCATTAATTTTTAGAGAGTGGAAGGGAGAAAGGGAGGGAGAGAAAAAGGGAGAAGGAGAGAGAAATATGTGAGAAACACGTCAACTGGGGCTGGGGATCAAACCTGCAACCTAGGTACATGCCCTTGACTGAGAATTAAACCTGAGACCCTTTGGTACCACAGCCAATATTCTAACCATTGAGCCACCAGCCAGGCCAGCTTTTTTTAAAACCTTTCTATGTAAGTCACATTCTACTGCTCAAGAAAGTTTGTCAAGAAGTAGTTACTACTTTTTTCTGAACTGACTTGAAGGACTATGATGGACACTTGTGCTAAAATGATTAGTATATAGCTTTTTCCTCTTCAAAATAATGTAGAGATTTAAGATAGATTTTCTTGCAGAAATGTTAGTGGCAGGTTGCTTGTCCAATTTTGGCTTAGCCTCTTTTCTGCTATTAAAATCTTAAATATTTGCTGGTAAATACGGCAGTAACTGTAAAGTGTCCCTGCCCCATTCTCACACTGTCGTCTTGGCAAATGTGATTCTTCTGAGGAACTCTGTCCTGGTTTCTAAAGAATCAGCACTGAAACAGCCCCTCACCCCTACCCCACTCCTCCAGCCTCACAGGAACATAAAGCCTTATCTGCCCGGTGATGACAGTGGTATGTGGCAGGCTAACTTCCTCTAAAGGTTCTGGATCCTCCTGACCCCAGTGTCTCCTGTCTCCGGTTATGGGCCTCCCTTGGCATAGGCAGACAGTGGTGTTCAGCAATGCCTCTTTCCCATCGTTCCCTGCTGCTGGCTTACGTTCAGGGGATTCGGCAGCTTGCTCTTCTTCAGTGTGGATTTGTTGCTTTGTCAACATCTGGACCTGTGATGCTGACTTCTTTGAGTCTGAGTTACAGGCTCCACCTGGAAAGTCACCACTCTTTAATGGGCCAAGTAAAAGCCAATGACCTACATTGTTGTGCCATAGATTTGGTGGTAAGATTAAAGGTATAGTGTAAAGGTAGAAACCATTTTATCAGGCTTCTTTTGAGCTTGGAGCTAAATAAAAACAAATGTTAGTAACTAGAACTCTAATTTCTTGTAATTTGACCCCTAAAAAAAAGTCATTCTAGTCAAAGGAAGAAAAAACAAACAAAAACAAAACAGATTCCCAGCAACCCTTCTCAGAAAGTTGTGCCTTTTGCCATTCATATCCTGAGACTTAAGACTGGTGTTAGAAGGATCCCTCCCATGTTCCTTTCTCTCTCAAAGGTTTTGAATCAAACGGAGGATCACCGCCAGAGGGTTCTGCAGGCAGCTGCTAAGAACATCCGTGTCTGGTTCATCAAAGTGCGGAAGATGAAGGCCATCTACCACACCCTGAACCTGTGCAACATAGACGTGACCCAGAAGTGTCTGATTGCAGAGGTCTGGTGCCCTGTCACTGAACTTGACTCCATCCAGTTTGCACTCAGAAGGGGCACGGTGAGTCCCCCACAGCAAGCAGTGCAGCCTATAGCTAAGAAAAGAGGTTCCCATCAACAGTAACATTAACTATCCACATTTTTATGGCATTTTTACCTTCAGAGTTCTTCAATATACACATCTTGTGTCCTGACAATGCATATTGCATATATGTCCTTTTTTTCCAAATGTGGAAATTGTACTTTTAAAAAAAAGGTTAAATAACTTAATCATGTATCTATGATTCTTCAGGGTAGCTCATGACCACAATGTCAATTTCCTAATCCACATTCTCGGTCCATTAGTATAACCTGTAGGATGACCCTGGCAGACTGACTCACTTAGTAGTTAGAAGTACTGCTCTGTTCAAAGCGCTGATCTAGTTAGAGATGTACTAGTAAAAAATAAGCCCTCAACTACCTTACAATTTCCTTGGAGAGGCTGACAGGCAAACATACAGTCCGACTGTACAGAAGACAGTCTGTACTCAGAGTGGTATATGCAACTCAGATGATTGAACAAAAGCTTCAAGAAGGTGGCACTGGGGCTTTGAAGAATGGGCGAGATGTCGATTTACAATGATGAGAAGAAAATATGGACAAAGGCAGGAAGTACAGTACGACATTCATGGTTGGGCAAAAACGGGATTAGAATGGGCAAACTGAAATACTAGGATGTGAACGTGATTAGGTAGAACCTAATTGAGAAAGGTTTTAAAACACCAGATTACTTTTTAAATTCTATTTCAAAAGGAATGGAGAGGCTGTAGAAGTTATTTAGCAGTGAAAGGACATGACCAAAGCAGTTTTAAAGGAGTAACCGATTGATAGTATCTTGGTTGGATTGGGGAGTAGAGAGTCTATAGGTGGGGGTCAATTAGGAAGTTACGTTAAACACAGAGAAGTAAACTGTAAGGGTCCCTGAGGTAAGAACTGACAATAGGAAAAGAAAATAATGATGAATTTGTGAGACATTCTGAAGGAAGAACCAATTAGGTAAACTTGGTTTTTAGCAACGTGTGGGAGCAGTACAAGAAGAAATAAACATAAATGTTTCTGAGGCATCAAAGCTGGGTGCCTGGTAGGATAATGGTTCCATTAATGGAAGTAAAAGTTCAGCAAGAGAAACTTAGGGGGAAAATGGTAAGTTCAGTCTCAATCAAATCGAGAGGCTGGACAGAAGTCCACACGGAAATGTCACCAGGTAATAGGACAGGTTCTTGATGGAAAAGGCACATTGAAGGATGTGGATTCATGAGCCTGGAAGGGAGTGAGACCGCAAAGAAGGGAAGTAAGGAAGCTAAAGACGGGACCTTGGGGGCCCTGCACTGTTTGGGGGTAGTCAGAGGAGGAAAGCCAGCAAAGACATAAAAAGCGTGGTTAGTGAGCAGGAGGGGACTCTGGTGGAATCGAGGTTTCACCCAGACAGAGTCAGGGGCTTGCACGTGGGAGAAAAGACCTTTGGATCTGGTGACCAGCAGCCACTTGAATAAGTGTGCTCAGCTAGACCGCAAGGATTTGGGAGTTTGGAGCAGGTGGTGAGGGAGGAAAGTCAGAGAATGTGCGTTGCTTCCTCCATCAACAGAGGAGAGAACAATGATAGTCCTAGGAAGGCAGGTGAGGATGTCTCCAAAGAAAGAGGTTCCATGGTTATTTCAGTTACTCATTTTAGAATTAAACGTTTTTTTACAGTAAGGATTTTCTTCCCAAGACTTAATTTAAATCTTTCATTGTAAATTTTATACCTAGTTTCAGTTTCCCCAAAGACTGGGGAAGATTGAGATACAATTTACATGAAATAAAATACACACATTTTATGCATACAGGTGGATGGGTTTTGATAATATGCATGCCTGTGTAAGATCACCACATTTAGGAGCATGACCTAATTTGATATATGTGCTTAATGTTTGCCAGGAGCACAGTGGGTCCACCGTGCCCTCCATTTTGAACAGGATGCAGACAAACCAGACTCCCCCAACCTATAACAAAACGAACAAGTTCACATATGGCTTTCAGAACATAGTAGATGCTTATGGAATTGGAACTTACCGAGAGATAAATCCAGGTAAAAAAAAGCTTGCATCATTTCCCTCCAGAGGTTTTATTTTTTGCTTGTCATATATATACTTTTAAATATATTTTTTTTTTATTTCAGAGATGGAGAGAGAGAGAGAGAGAGATAGAAACATCAATGAAAGAGAATTATTGATTGGCTGCCTCCTGCAAGCCTCCTACTGGGGCTAGAGCCTATATATTTTTTATTGATTTCAGAGAGGAAGGGAGAGGGTGAGAGAGGGAGAGTAACATCAGTGATGAGAGAGAATCATCGATTGGCTGCCTCCTGCACACCTCACACTGGGGATCAAGCCCACAACTCATGGGCATGTGCCCTGACCAGGAATCGAACCATGACTTCCTGGTTCATAGGTCTGTGCTCAACCACAGAGCCACGCCGGCCGGCTGTTTGTTTTATCTTTTAATGCCTCACTTTAAATGCTGTTAACAACTGGCTTAACACGAAAGATGTCAAGACCACAGCACGAGTGTAGCTCCTGTGAAGAGGTGCCCATTTAACTCCTGTTCTCTGATTTTTACAGAACAGGTTATTTGGAGAACTTCGTTGATTATGAAGCAAAATTTGACTGTGTAAAATTTTCATAATTTTTATTATTAAAATTTGAAAGAATTATAGAAATTACCTCATTCAAATTCCCATCAAAGGGAGAAAAATCCTACATATTAAAAAAAGAGGTGGTTTTATAGGCATGAGCTCTGTGGATCGGATTTTTCTGTGTATGTTTTACAGATATAAAACATCTGGCTTTCTCTAGCACACCATTTGTAGGAACTGCTTTAGGCAAAAGTTTTTCCCCCAAGATATCTGACATTTTAAAATGGCTTCCCTGTTCCAGGTTAGAGAAAATATAGCAATTATTGACCATGTTAGGCACAAAGCAGATTTCTCCTCTGTTTGGAGAGTTAATTATTAAGTCAAGAGTCAGAATTCATTTTCAGCTGGAGCCTTCTTCCGGACCTGCTTTGCCCGGGTGCTGGGCTTTCTCCTGCTCACCCAGGAGCTTTATTCAGCTGGAAATGGTTGCTGCACAGAGAAGAAAGCTGCCTGCTCCAGGAGCAGTGTCCCACGGAGAAGAAAAAAGGAATTAGAGAACAAACCACATTGTTGCCAGTGCTGGAGGCAAAGCTTTCACTTCCTGTGTTCTTTGTTTCAAACTCTAGCTGTAGCTCAGATGTTCTCAGAGCTACTTGGTGAGGTGCGCAGTGCCAGGGAAGATTTTCTCTGGGAGTGCAAAGTCACCTTATATTGACCTTAGCTTACAGAGAGGAATGTGATGGGTTGGGAATTGTTACAGTTTTCTGTGCTTTGTCTTTTTCCTCCTTTCTTTTTAATTAAAAAAATTTTTACTTTATTTTTATTGTTGACACTATTACAGATGTCCCCATTCTGCCCCTCTTTGCTTTATTTTAATACTAGAGGCCCAGTGCACGAAATTCATGCACTGCGGGGGGGAGCGGGTAGGGGTGTCCCTCAACGTGGCCTACGCCCTCTCGGAGTCTGGGAGCCCTCGGGGGATGTCCGACTGACAGCTTATGGGAGCAGGCCTAAGCTGTCATTCAGACATCCTTAGCGCTGCCACCACCACTGCGCCGCCAGCCATAAGCCTGGCTTCTGGCTGAGCAGATCAGTCTCCCCCCAGCATCAAGCTAACCTACTAGTCAGAGCATCTGCCCCCTGGTGGTCAGTGCACGTCATAGCGACTGGTCGACCATCAACTGTCTGCCCCCTAGTGGTCAGTGCATGTCATAGTGAGCAGTTGAGCTGCCTTAGCATATCATTAGCATATTATGCTTTGATTGATTGAATGGATGACCGGACACTTAGCATATTAGGCTTTTATTATATAGGATATTTTTTATTGTTGATAGTATTATAGATATCGCCCATTCTCTCCTCCTTGTTTTTTTTATTAATTAATTTTTTCATTACAGTTGACATACATCACTATATTAGTTTCAGGTGCACAACATAATGATTAGACATTTATACACCTTACTAAGTGATCATCCCAGTAAGTCTGGTACCCATCTGACATCCTTTGGTTTCTTTATAGCTCCATATACCATCATCACTTTCCCTTTCCTATTTGCTGTGATGTTTGGGGACTTTGGCCATGGCATTTTGATGACCCTGTTTGCTGTATGGATGGTGTTAAGGGAGAGCCGGATCCTCTCCCAGAAGAATGAGAATGAGGTAATGTATAAGTTATATCTTGCAGTAGACTGAAATTTTATAATTCCTCAAGCATTCATTATGAAAATTATGATCTGGAAGTCTTCTGTCATGAATTTACAGAGAAGTTATATTCATTTTAACACTTAAAGAGACCACATACTGTGAAAGTGAATTTCTTATTTGCATTGTATTTTGATCTTTACTTCAAGCTCTCTGACCCAGGCTGGGGTTAAGTGGTATGAAGGGAAGGGTAAAGTGTTTTCTAAACAACATTATCCCAACATGAGCTACAGCAAGTACATTTCATTGACTTCTTTCTTCTGGTTCCCAGATGTTTAGCACTGTGTTCAGCGGACGGTACATTATTCTGTTGATGGGTGTGTTCTCCATCTACACTGGCCTCATCTACAACGATTGCTTTTCCAAGTCTCTCAATATCTTTGGATCGTCCTGGAGCGTACGGCCAATGTTCATATCTAATTGGACGTAAGTTGCAAAAGAAACTAAAAGTCAAAGCTTATTCCTTTCATGTTCACCTCTGATTTTCCAGACAAGTGGTAAACTAACACTTCTTTAGGAGCTGGTTGGCGATGTCTATTTCAGAAGAATGCAGCGTCTCCTCTTATTTATCCTCCACAAACTTTGTGGTTTGCTCAGCAGTCTCAAGGAGCTGAGGCTAAAATAGGCACATTGGTTCTTTTTATACATTAAAAGCAGATTCTCCAAATTCCCTACTTGGTTGTGTGTATGTGTTTAAGTTTGTTGTTGTTGTTATCTCTGATCCCCTCTCATCTCAGATGCTCGTCCCTGTTCTTTTTATTGAAGAGATGAGATAGCTAGAGTAGTTTCTTTTGGGGTCAGTTTCTGTTGATAAAAAAATAAATGCGACTTTTCTCCTAATTTAGAGAGGAGACGCTTCGGGGGAACCCTGTGCTCCAGTTGGACCCAGCTGTCCCTGGAGTTTTTGGTGGACCATACCCTTTTGGCATCGATCCAGTAAGAGCACTTCTTTCCTATATATCTAACACTAAAATGTTAAATTGTTACCTTAAAGTGAGAGAATAAAGTGAAGATAAATAGTTATTTGGTTTTTAGTTGACATATATATTTTTGGAAAACCTTGGTTTATCTGTTCAGTGTATTTCAAAGCCATAAAAGACCCAAGTGCCTTGGGAAGCCAAAATAATTTTTCCTGCATTGCTAATTTCAGAGGTGGTTAGTAATATTTACTCTGGGGAGATTGATTTTCAAGACTTCTTCCCAGTTTAATTTATTTAACTTAATTTGTTTGTCTTTTTCACAGAACAGAAATAGCTCTTCCCTCTGGGTTTCAACTTCTATTCTTATCTTTACATACTATAAGAACTTATCCCAGAATTTAATTATTTTTTTCAAATACTTAGGCAAATAAGTGTGATTAAATCTTTTGTTTTGTGTGCCTAAAAAGGGGGTAGAGGAACTGAAGAATAAGTGTTAGACAGTAACGATTATAAAATTTCAGGTGGGAAACATTATGGCCCAGAGAGATTAAGGTTTCTTATTAAAATGGGAAATAAATTGTTCCTACCTTGTTTGGCTGAGTGGCTAGAACATTGGCCTGCAGACCAAAGGGTTCAATTCCAGTAAAGGGCACATACCTTCGTTGCAGGCTCCTCCCCCACCCAGGCCCTGATCAGGGCTTCTGCAGGAGGCAACCAATCGATGTGTTTCTCTTACATCCATGTTTCTCTCTACCTTTCCCTCTCTCTTTTACTCTCCCTAAAAATCAATGGAGCCCTGGCTGGTTTGTCTCAGTGGATAGAGCGTCAGCCTGCAGACTGAAGGGTCCCAGGTTCAATTCCAGTCAAGGGCACATGCCCGGGTTGCGGGCTTGATCCCTAGTGGGGTGGGGAGTGCTGGAGGCAGCCGATCCATGATTCTCTCTCATAATAATAAATAAAATGGGAAATAATCTGCCTTTAAAAATACTTCAGATTGTTAGGTGAGGAGAAGTGTTTGCAAAAAAAAAAATGTGGGGAGATACAGAGTTGATTATTTTAATTATTATAGAAGTTAATGTTACTGCAATGCTTACTATGGGCCAGAAATATGTCCTGAGCCCTCAGCATATCTGATTTATCCTTAATTTATCGGGTAGATGATGCTATCTCTATTATACAGATAAGGAAACAGGCTTGGAGAAGTTTAATAGCATGTTACATATGCACTTAACAAATGTTTATGAATCCCTATTGTCTGCAAGGCATAGTGCCTTCCGGGGGAAACACAGAACTTTAAGACATAATTCCTGTCCTTAGGTAGTTTAGAGTCTAATAATATTTCAGCACATTTATATAGTTTCTGTGGTTACAAAGTTTTTTTTGTAGATATCCCATTGGATACTTACAGGGTAGATATTGGGTTTGAAGTGACTGTGGGGGACACTCAGAAAAATGTCTGTCAGGCAGCTGGAGTTGCAGAGCTGAATTTCAGGTGAGATTGGGGCTGGAGAGAGAACAAGTCACAACTTTTCAGGTTAGAGGTCACTGAGAATCAGCTTCACGAAGAGTCCAGTTCAGAAAAAAATGATGCCAGGCTAGATGGTAGAAGATCCTGCTTGTCAGGCTACAGATTTTGCACTTTAGCCTAGAGATGATGGTGGGGATTCAGGGGGAGGTTTTGGCTCAGGGAAATGACTGCGTCAGAGTCACAATTTAGGAAATGTTATCTGATGGCCATGTTATCTGGCAGCAGAACTGTCAGGAAAGTATTACAGGCATCCAGGCCTTAGGGGATAAAGCTTAAGGCAATTAATATTTTAAAAGTAGATGGACTGCCCTAGCCAGTTTGGCTCAGTGGATAGAGTGTCCGCCTCGGGACTAAATGGGCCTGATTCGATTCCAGTCAAGGGCACATGCCTGGGTTGCGGGCTCAGTCCTCAGTAGGGGGAGTGCAGGCTGATCAATAATTCTCTCTCATCATTGATGGTTTCTCTCTCCCTCTCCCTTCTTCTCTGAAATCATAAAAATATATTTAAAAATAAACAAATAAAGCTTCTTAAAAAAAAAAAAGTAGATGGACCAACAGCACAGCAGGGACATGATCAGTAAAACACAAGATTGTGGAAACATCTACACATAACCGGAAAACTGACCCAATTTCTTCAACAAATATTTTGTAAGGAATAAAAAATGAGAGCTGGAGGGAAAACCTATAGATTAAGACTTTAAAGCTATATCAACAGTCACGGTGTATAGGCCTTGTCTGGACCTTACTTTGAATAAATGAGTTATTAAAAAGCATTTGAGAAAGCCAAGAGACATATGAAAACATGCTCAAAGTCACTAATCATCCGAGAGATGCAAATCAAAACAACAATGAGGTACCATCTCACACCTGTCAGACTGGCTATCATCAACAAATCAACAAACGACAAGTGCTGGAGAGGATGTGGAGAAAAAGGAACACTTGTGCACTGCTGGTGGGAATGCAGACTGGTGCAGCCACTATGGAAGACAGTATAGAGTTTCCTCAAAAAACTACAAATGGAACTTCCATTTGACCCTGTGATCCCACTTCTAGGAATATATCCCAAGAAACCAGAAACACCAATCAGAAAGGATATATGCACCCCTATGTTCATAGCAGCACAATTCACCATAGCTAAGATCTGGAAACAGCCTAAGTGCCCATCAGTAGATGAATGGATTAGAAAACTGTGGTACATCTACACGATGGAATACTATGCTGCTCTAAAAAGGAAGGAACTCTGACCATTTGCAATGGCATGGATGGAACTGGAGAGCATTATGCTAAGTGAAATAAGCCAGTCAATGAAGGAAAAATACCACATGATCTCACTTATTCATGGATAATTGAGACCATTATAAACTTTTGAACAATAATAGATACAGAGGCAGAGCTGCCTCAAACAGATTGTCAAACTGCAGCGGGAAGGCTACGGAGGGTTGGGGGGCGGGAGGTAGTGGGGTAAGAGATCAACCAAAGGACTTGTATGCATGCATATAAGCATAACCAATGGACATAAGACACTGGGGGATAGGCGCGGCTAGGGGACTGTCTAGGGCGGGGGGAAAAATGGACACATATGTAATTCCCTTTGTAATAAAAAATAAAATTAAAAAAAAAAAAAAGCATTTGGACACAATCCAGGGAAGTTTGAATGTTGACTATATATTTCATGATATTAAGGAATCATTGTTACTGTTTTAGGGTGTGACAATAGTATTGTGGTAATGTCCTTGAAATGAATCCTTTTTAGAGATCTGCACTGAAATATTTACAGTAAAATTATATGGTACCTGGATTTTTGCTTCGGAATAATATGGAGGTGGGGGGCAGTGGGTTGGGGGTATGATGGAGCCAGATTGACCAAGAGTGCATAGGTGAATAATAATTGTTGAAAATATGTGATGTCCATGTGGGAGTTGTCTGTTATACTATTCTCTCTACTCAAGAATGTGTTTAGAATTTTCCATAATTAAAAAACAACCCTATTTTTTAAATGGGTGACTATTTTTCCATTGGAGCACTCTTTGTAATATCCTTTTGTTTCCTTGGGTTGTGACAGATTTGGAACATTGCTACTAATAAACTGACCTTCCTCAACTCCTTCAAGATGAAGATGTCCGTTATCCTTGGTATCATCCACATGATGTTTGGAGTAGGTCTGAGCCTTTTCAACCACATGTGAGTCACTCTGTTTCTGTCATAAGAATGTGCATAGTTTAGGTAATGCTTTTGCCTAAGAAATTTGTGGCATTTTGGGGGAGGGATTAGTAACTCAGAACCCTGTTCTGTGTTTTAAAAAAGTGCTTTTAAGAAATGGGGCTTACTTAATATTAGTCCCTTAAAAATTTACAATTGCAGTGAAGATCTTTGAGAGAACCTAGTGTAATTTTCATCAAAATGAGTGAATTACTTTTTTTCCTTGATGTGTAACTCGCATGAAATTTTGAACTGTGTCTTGGAATGTACTAGATTTTCCAATCTCTCTCCCATGGGAGAATGGAGAGGATGGTACTGGAACTGTTCAAGGTCCAAAAGTTTGGAAGTCAGCGTTAATCCTGTTTGTCTCTGTTGCCTCCAGTGCTTCTGGCTCTTGCTTCTTAAAGGAATAAAGACAGAATTGAGGGAGCCATAGGAGGAAATTTAGTGAGGGCTCCACTTGGTGTAGGGGTGGCCCTGGGTCTGTTCACTTCTCACGTTTTTTTTCTCTCTTCCTTTTTAGCTATTTCAAGAAGCCCCTGAATATCTACTTCGGGTTTATTCCTGAAATAATCTTCATGACCTCTTTGTTTGGCTACTTGGTTATCCTTATTTTTTACAAGTGGACGGCTTATGACGCTTTTACATCTGAGAAAGCACCAAGCCTTCTGATCCATTTCATAAACATGTTCGTCTTTAACTACGAGGACATTCATAATTCAATGCTATATTCTGGGCAGGTGCGTCAGCCCAGAAGTGGACTGTCTTAGGTGGTTATCCTAGGTCAGGAAGTTAGATGTTTCTGTTACCCTGAAAAAAACTTAAATCCCTTTCTGTAGGATTTGGTTTTCAATTCATGCATCTAGATCTAAATTCAGCCTGTCCTCCTTACTTGGGAGGGTCTACTAGAATTTTTGTATCAGAAAGGGTAGAATAATAACTCGTCCTATGGGACAATTCCTGGGCTTTGCCACATCTGCTAATTATTTTGAGAATCTGGATATCATTGTTCACAAGTCAGTAAGAGAGTACTGTTTGGGGGGTAATTTGTGCTGGAAGTGGAAACTGCATGTTTGATTAATGTGATGTGCCTTGTTCTTTGCAGAAAGGAGTTCAGTGTTTCCTAGTTGTGGTCGCATTGCTGTGTGTACCATGGATGCTCCTGTTTAAACCTCTGGTCCTTCGCCATCAGTATTTGAGGAGGAAGCATTTGGTGGGTATATTTCTGTTGCTGAAAGTTACTATATAATTTTTTAAGATCAAGACAATTCCTTATTGGATCTAATGAATTGTGCATAAGTCTATATACTCTTAAAGTGCATTTGTGTCATATCCCAGCATGAGCACTGGACCTGCTGAAATCAAAAAGTGTTTTTGTTGCCTGGACATCTGGATTCAGCTCTTAGTAGCTCGGGTATAGAGAATAAGTCCTAAGTGTTTACCTTTCCTGGTCATGCTTTGCTCATGCTGTGCTCAGCAAAACCCAGGTCTGGGCCTGTCTAGATGCAGCATCAGACACAACAAAGCAGCAAGAGCTGCAGCCGTGTGAACCCACTCGTGTGGTTTGGCTGGGCAGCCACAGGGCTGACAACTGAGACATTTTCTTTTGAAATAAGATCGAGATGCTCTCACCAACCAAAACATCCGGGGGAAAGATTTGGCTTGAAGCATGTTGTTTTTTCTTTTTAAAAAGCAGCATACATACTTGTGTTTACTTAATGTATGTGTGCATGTGAATTCTATACACACACACACACACACACACACACACACACGCTTAAGTTGCCAAATGTTCACGTCTAGCCATGCAGTAATGCTTACTTATTACACTGTGGTAAAATCCAAAAGATCTTTTTGCATGACTCTCATATGGCTGTTAGATTATTATTCCTGTTGGAGAGCAGCTGAGTTACAAGACCCTCCTTCTCCCTTTTCTGACCATCTTCACCCTTCCATGTCCCCTGCATTCGTCTCCCCCTTCACTCCCTCCCTCTTTTGTTTTCTTCTCCCTTCCTCTTTTCTTCCCTTCACTATCAGGAAGGGCAACCTGTGGAGGCCCCAGTCAGCCCAACCCCGAGCCAACAGGGACTAGAGGCAGCAGCGGCTGCAACAGTGAGTGAATTTAAACCCACAAACCATCACATTTTGTGTAAAGAGGTGGCAAACAGTGCAGCAGAATTCTTGTTAACTATATTGAGAGCGGGGGACATGTGTGCTCTTGTTACTCACTGAGATGATAGAAAAGAGTTCCACCTCTTATGAGTAGATTCTGATATCATCTTTACCCCTGGTCTACTACGTTTCTATTCAGATATGTAAGTACAGTCATGGTTATGGAAGCAGAGTGGCTGTTGTACCCTCGCCGGGTCCCATCGTCTTAATCCAAGATGGTGCTCTTGGACCCATTCACTTTCATGTCTGTATTTTGTGACCATGTATTGGGTGATTTTTCAAGAACATCTCTGTGATTCTTGATTTCCCGACACTTAAAGGTCTGCTTCCAAAGATGCTTGGACATTTGGCCCATTTTAGCTGTGACTTAGTCTCCTTCCATTGGAAGCTTATACATGTCTACCCTCACGTCCTCAGCTGCTCCAGTGAGAACTCTGCCTGGCCGTGTGTCTTGTGTGTCTTGTACATCCGGGGGAATAACCAGAGTCATCTCTGTTTTGATCTTTCCTTCTTCCAATACTAGCTTGTAATTCAGTGTCAGCAATTTGAATGTTAAGCATTTCAATATCTGCCTTAAAAACATCACTTAACCAAAATCTTACAATGCCCTAATATTAAACTAGTACAGTCTATTCTATGTAATGAATCTGTCGGATTTTTAAGTCTCACCAGTAGTGATCACTCATGTACTGTTGTGTTCTAGTAGCATCGTACTCCTTTAAAAGAAAATGAAATATTTAGATGGATAACCATTTCCTTCATTAGGTGTTTCTGATCACTTTAAACTTTGAAAACTATGATCATCCTTTAGAACTAGTCTAAGAGGGCTGATATTTTGAATAAGAAGATATTTTAATATTGCTACTTAAATTATTATCAAGTAGGAACTTTCTCTTTTCCTATAAGAAAAAAAATATTAAAAACCCTTAGAATACAGACTATCCATGTATTTACATTCTTTCTGTGGACTCTCTTTCTGCTAGTCTTAATGTTTTTAAGGTGTGCTTCTGATGCATAATCTTGATGCTTTTAAATCTGGCATCCTCTTCTTTCATACTATGCAAGTTAAAAGTCCCCAGTCTAGAAACCCCCACATTCATAGGGTCTTCTTAGCCCACTGGTTTTTTTAGCCAAACATCTGGAGACCAGCCTAAAGGCATCAGGATGATAACTCTCTCTGACAAGGACTCTAGATTCTTGACCCCATGGGCTGAGGATATGACACGGATCTGTTTTTGTTCTGTTCTGTGTCCTCTTGGCTGTCTGTAAGCCTGTGTCACAGTTTAGTTGTGTGTTTTTTTTTTTTCTGCTGGTGTGTTTGTGTCTCATCCCCTTTCCTAAAACTCTCATACCCTGTGTTCTGAAAGGACAGTCGCTAGTGTCTAGCTAGGAGGCTTAACCTGTCTGCCCCTCACTCTGTCCTCTAGTGGGGGGAAGCTTCAGAACTGGCCTTCTGCTTTAGTGCCTTGAAGCCTGCCTCCTGTACCCTAGAACCCATCCCAGGAGTCCTCTCCTGTCACCCATGCCCTTCGTTGCCCTTTCAGTTCATCTTTTGAGGGTTGTCAGGTTAATACTTGTGTGACCTGGAGGTGCCCAGGGCCTCAGTGGTTCCTGAATCTGACTTCATATCAGAATCACCTGGTAAACTTGACATCTGTTTTTTAGGGTATTAAAACAGTTAAGTGGAAGAAAAAATAAAAATGGTCTATAATCCTATGACCCAGAGAATCCCCTACTGACATTAAAAAATACAATTAAAGCAATAGGTGACCTTGGTTAGAAAATGCAAATAAGGGAACATTTGAGATCTTATTCCCCAGCATATGTTGTCAGTTTGGCTCCAATAAAAATTTGGAGGTGGGGAAGAAAATGCAAATAATACTGAAAGCGAAAGCCTGCCTGTCCCCAGAACCCTTCTCCTCCTTAAGGGTATTATTAAACAGCATTTTACCTCCAAATTTTTTTCTGTGTATGTCAGCATATATCTATTATCTTCTGAGATAAGTGCATATGTGGATGTACATAAATTTTTGAGACACATCAGAATTGTGTTTAAACTGTAGCACTGTTTTGTCCCTTGATTTATTAAGTTATTAAAAATTTAGTGTATCTTGGAGATTGTGTCATAGTTATTCTTACTCTTTTTCATAGTTGCCCAGCATTCCATAGGTCATTCTACTGAATCTGCTAAAATTATGTGATCACTTTCTTACTAATGGATGTGTTCATTGTTCCCAGTTCTTTGCTATTACAAGTAGCAATTCAGGGAACATCCTTGATAAAATTTCACACTCAAGTTCCCAATAGTGGGTGAGATTGGATTGCTGAGTCTCAAAGGGTGCATGCATTTTCAGTTTTGATAAACAATCAAAATGATTATACAGTTTGTACTGAGTGTATATATATATTTTAATATAGATTTCCTAGGTTCCACCCCAGACCTACTGAATTTGCACTTTCTGGGAATAGTATTTGAGAGTCTCTGTGTACTGAAGTGCAGCTTGCAAGGTGACTCTGATGCAATGGTTCTCTACCCAGCACATGAGAACCGCTGCTAGGAGAGAGAGCATTTGTCCACACAGGGGCATCTGGTGGTCAGTAACTGAGAACAGGTGAAGGTGTGCGTGGGGATCTCCAAGCAGTTGTCCAAACCTGCTTACACATTGTTTGTGCTGCTTGCCCAGGCCGTTTTGCAGGAGAGCAATCTTCCAACTCTTGCCTTGTTTGGTTCTCCAGACAGAAACCATACGAAGTGGGCGTAGGGGCTATTTTTTTTTTAATATGTTTTTATTGCTTTAGAGGGAGGGAACGGGCAAGAGAAACATTGATCAGCTGCCTCCAACATGCCCTCTACTGAGGATTGAGCCTGCAATCCAGGCATGTCCCCGGATTGAGAATCGAACCAGCGACCTTTTGGTGCATGGGACTAGGCTCAACCAACTGAGCAACACCAGCCAGGGCCAGGGGCTGTTTCTTCAGCTCCTTTCACTCTGTGGCAGGTTAGCACTAATTAATATCGGTCAGACTTAATCCCAGTTCTGTCTAGTTTTTGTAGCCACAGAATCCTTTTGCCTCAATAAACCTAAGCTTTTCCAAATCAGGTTGACAAAGAAATTCAGGTTCTGGAGACCCTACTAAAAACTATGCCTGGGAAGTGAGGAGAAGCCACACCCATCAGCATCTGTCCACAGGCCCGGAAAGAGTTGTTTTCACTCCAGAGTCCTCCACGGAAGGAAAGGAGCCTCTTTCTTTTTGTAAACTCAGTATTCTCTAGCAGGAAGCTGACGTACATGAAGCTTCTTTCCCTTCCCTTTGTTCCGGAGCAGAGGCCAGCACTAGCACATTTCTGGGAGAGGTGGCTGGGACTCTCGGGGCTCCTGTTGAAAGCTTATCAAACAGACCAGGTTACAATCGTCATGTCATTCGGTGCCCCTCCCTCTTAGAAAGTCTACTCTTTAGTTCAGTTTCAAGAAAACTTAGGCCATTGAAAGCTTTGCAGATAGAGCTACACTTGCTGTGAGAGTCTGTTCGTATTAAGCTTTTCCATTCGAGCAGGATTCTTAATTAGCATTGACCGAGGCAAGGTTGGTGTCTCTGGGTGCAGCAGGCAGAACTGCATATTCCCTCCCATCAGGATGAGTTGGTAAATGCAGTTGGGGCTGGGGCTGGGGCGGTGGTGGCTGGGGTGGGAACAGTGGTTTGTTTTTACTTAGCTGTTTGACCAGCTGGTTTTGCTTTTGTTGTTAGAATATGTACTTTTCTGAGGTTTGTATGTACTAACCATCGCCCTTCCCCACCTCACAAAATGTCATATTAAAGCCCAGGCAAATTCTACTCTTTCTGTTCATGTGTGTAAAATGGGGGCGACAGAGGAGGATGCTGAGATTATTCAGCATGACCAGCTCTCCACCCATTCAGAAGATGCAGAAGAGGTAAGATCCAGCGGTGTGGGCTTCCTCTCCTTCCACTTTGGGTCAGCCCTAGTCTGTGTCCCTAAGTGGCTTCGCTCCAGTCTTCTTGAAAAATGAAAATCTAATCCTAATGATCAGCCTGCCTTCTGGACCTTTCAGGGCACCGCAGCTTTTTCCGAGGGGCCCCCGTAAACTCCAGGTGTTGCCGGCAGAGCCCGCAGCAGTTTTTTCTGTTGTTCCACTTCTTAACTTCTGCGTTGCATGCCGATCTCCATTACCCACTGCTCTCTCTCCGGGGCACCGAGGCAGAGTCGGCCCCAGCTTCCCAGCTCTTATGACCAGGAACACAGCCCACGCAGGCAGCTTCCGCATCCCTTGCGCCTTCCAAGAGTGCTTCCAGTTGGAACTGTAACCCCTGATGCTTTGGAAGTCCCGTCCCACCGAAGTGCTCTTGTTGCAGATGTTTCATTTGAGCCTTTTTAAAATGCCTACTTTTTATAGGGAGAGTGAAAAATGGAAGGCTAAGCTAGACTTTTCCGACACCACCACCGCCATGCTCCGTTTTTTAAAACTCACAGTCTTTGCCAAACCACTCATAGCACAAAGCCTCTGACCTTTAGGATCTCATCTATTCATTGTATTCTTTTTAAAGCAAGTAGGAGTTGAGGACCCCAGGTGACTGGACTTTTTAGTCTGACTGACCCCTTTCACTATGTGTATAACCTTTTAAAAAAGAAATTGCAAGGGGTTGGGGTGCCTTTTAAAAATATGTCTTACTGCTCTGAATCCTGCTGATGTTGCTTTCCTGTATGCTGAGGAGGCTGCCTCTGCCATATTAGACCCACTTAACATCGCCCGTCCTCCCCACGAAGCAATGGTAGTCTTGTGTTCGTGACTTGACCTTGTGTGTGCCACGGCTTCCCACTAAGTGTAACTTTGTGTTTTCAAGCCTGCCGAGGATGAAGCGGTAAGAAACAAGCTGCTTTGCCTTCATGTTTATCTGGGGCTTGTCTTCCCGTCCTTGTGATCACTTTGCTGACCCTGCTGCATCCGGGGCCACACATGACACCCGCGTACCCTGCATCTCACTGGCATTTCTAACCAGTCCGTGAATCTGTGTTCTGAAAAAGCTCATCTCCATTAACTGCATCTCATGTGGGTCACCTCTGTCTTTGTTTCATTGACTTCGCTGATCTAATACCTCTGAGAATGGCTTTGTAAGGAGCTACAAGCAATGTCTACATTGGCATTCTTGAAGTGACTCCCCTTGGGGGTTAAATCCCATTGGCTTCTGCCTGCCTCTCCTGTGATGTTATGTATGGTCGCTCTGCCACTGGGAGTAGCTGTTTCCTCCCTGGCCCTCTGAGTGCTTACGAGTAAAGCTTCCCCTTCCTCCCTGTCTGAGATGCAGCCGGCCTCTTCCTGCTGCCCTCATCAGCTTGGTGATGCTTGAAGTGACAGTTGCTGGACCCTCGCCTCGGGGTCAGCTCTACCTCTGTGTGACCCAGGTGGGAAGTAGCGTTCAAAAGGAGGCTTTGCCTCTTAGATGTATCCCAGTGAAAAACAACCCATCTGCGCTATTAGCCACACACAGAGCATCGTAACAGCGAATAGAAAGTTGGCGACATGTTCAGGCTGCATCTGGAGAAGGCCTAGCTCAGCAAGAATTCACTTAGCAATATACAAGTTTGGAATCGGGTTTTTCAAAGGCCATGCTGCACTGTTTGCATCTTCCCCCCAAATTTCTCTCTGAAATACTTAGCCCCATAAACCCTTCCCTTCCCTGGCTCTCCTGGTCTCTGTAAGGGGGCAGCTGATAGGAATGGGAAAAATCTTTGCTGTTTTGTGTAAAAACAGACAGTGCTCAGCCTTCCTAAAGGCTGAGAGGCTGCCGGCATCCAGGGGTCAGTGTTCCTCTGGACCGCTCATCTGTGCAGTCTCTGGCTGGGCCTCCTGGAAGGGGTGTGGGAGTTGTTCCATATTAGTGAGGAGCCAGCCCCTCCCAGTAACATCTCCGACAACACTGCTCTTTCTAAATGTCATACTAACTGAGCACCCAAATGCCATGGTCATTGCCAGAAAAGTCCTTATTTGTAGCCATGTCCCACGGGGGTTGAGCATTGAAACAAGATGGACTGTAATTCAGCTGCCCTAGTCTCTGGCCCCCAGATCCCTAAGGGTTCTGGTTTTCATAGCTTCCTAAGTAGTCATAACACTTTATCAAACACATACACAGTTTAGTTTGCTACAGACAAATTTGGGTAACTGTCACCGTTATCTAAAGATTTCAAACAAAACAGAATTCTTAAAAAATCCAGCCTACTTCTCCTAGAACTTTCCCATATTGCTTGGCTGTGAAAACCTGTTTGCCACATACAGGTCATTGCTCCAGCCCAGTGGGAGCAGCGGTCCCTCTCCCGGGGGGTTGGGGGGGGGCACTCAGTACAGTTGCAGACCAGGGCCAGGTCATGTGGTTGTCTAGGAAACCTTTGAAGACTGTAGCCATTCAGCAAGGGTCAGTGGCACCTCTCCCTACTGTGTCATCTCACCAGGTGTGCTCATCCAACCCATCCATCCATTCACCCTCCACGTGTCAAGCCTCTGTTCAATGCTACAGGAACTGAAAGAAGGAAAACACAGTCCTTGCCTTCAAGGAGCTCCCAAACAAACTGAGGAAACAGTCTGGGCGAGAGATGCTGTGATCATAGTGTGCCCAGGATGCTGTGGGAACACAGAAAGGGGCACCTGAAAAACAGAGTGGGCGTGGGAAGAGGAGACCAGGAAAGGGCTCCCTAAGGAAATGATTGCTAAGCTTAGTCTCTGTGAAGGGAGAGGGAGATGCAGACCCATCAGTATGAATAGTTATCATAAAGACAGAGGCCTGCAAGCCATCACGCTTAGGGATTAAACGGGTATTCGGCTTGGCTGAAACTCAGAGTTAGGAGCTTCAGAGGGTGGTGAAGCTGAAAGTGACACAACAAATGGGATTGCGGAAGTGGAGATGTTAGAGGACATACTGGACTGGGAAGAGGGCACAGTCTAGAGGCATGGGGACCAGCTAGTCTGCTATGAGTCAGGAAAAAATTGGGAGGCCTGGGAGACGCAAGCATTTTCAGGGGGAGTTAGAAAGGAAGGGCCAATAGAGGCTAAGAATGTAAAAGCTACAGGTTCCAGTCCCTTAGCGGAGATTGGAAGTCAAGATTGA